CGCAGCCACCGCATTCGGCTGACTTACCTTCGTGTAACTTCTGGCTATACAGCAAATTCACATAACCACTCCGAGGACAACCTTTTGAGTCAACTGAGGATATAAAAGCTGAATCGAAGAAGGCGTGATGGGCATCACGACGAAAGATTTTTTCAAGCGCTATGATGATTGGAAAATTTGTTGACATAAGTGTATTGCAACGGGAGGGGATTACTTTGAAGGAAATGAAATGACAAAATTTATCAATCTTCCAGGTTTGAATATGCCATYTGATCGCCTCCACAATAGGCTGCTTCTGAAGAAGCACAAGCRTGACAATGCGTAATCCAATATTTCATACACTTGTTTTAGACTCGGTGATGTCACTGTGATGTYCTTTCAGYGAATTTTTTGTTCGSTTTCAGCGCATATTTGKAGYACCATTCGCTAGATTGTTGGATATCTCTTTGGAACATTTACTAAACTTCGTTTTTGAAAAMGATTTAAGCTTTTGGCTTCTTATCCAAATTGTTAACCAAAACGTTTCTTCAACGTTTCCGATGTTATCGTCATTAACAGCAGTGGAAGGACGACCAGAATGARGAAAATTTTCGATGACTTCACTACTTTCACTGAATACTTTGTGCCACTTAAATAGTTATGTTGTGAAAAAGGAGACTCACCAAAACAGTTCTGCAACAGTTTTAACGATTCCGTAGTCCTGCTTCCATTGGRAATCCAAAATCTCATGATACTCTTTGTTAATTTTTTTTATGGTAAAAATCGCCAAATTGCTTGCAAAGATTTACGAGAAGGTGAATGGCAATGTAAGTAGAATTCCGAATTAAATTTTATCAGCTTCTGTGGGAAAATTCGATGCTCTGAATATTATTAAAAATTCGAAATGTTCCAAATTTCACAAGGATGTTTTAACCAAAATACAAACTACCGCAAAAGCACAACTCCTGCGGAAATATTAATTATAACACTACGGTAAGTAAAAACAAATAAACTTAAAATCAAAGTATTTTTATTTCAAAATGCTTTCTTTGGTAAAATGTTACCATGATCAATATGAAAATATAAACTAGTAATTACACAAATATTTATTTGTAATCATTTGTATTAGATAATATGTACCTTGACCGACGATGACGTTGAGGTACTCAAATATTCATTTTCCTCTTCTTCTTGAAATTGATTCATTTTATTTAKCATATRCATTCTGAAWAGTCTTTGCCTTTTGCTGGAGAGTTTTTCATAATCAGACAGCAAACTTTTAAAAAATAATTCATTTCCATTTTCTTTAGGTTTCTGCTTCGTTTTGGAGTTTAGGAACTCTATCATTGGTCCTGCTATCATCTCAGATATACTTGTAGATGTCTTACTCTTCTTCGTAGGCATTGGACTACTTTTGTCAGTACTTACTGCATCCATAAAATAGTTTTGCGACATGTCGGCAGTTGGTTCTTCGACATCAGTGCTATTTACATGTAAATTACTGSTCATATCACGATGCTGATGTACAAATTCTTTTAAAAAAGACATTGCATCAGCCAAGTACCACTTCCGCTTCTGTTTACCACTCGATCTAGATGGTTTGTTTTTTTCTTCCCTCAAATATCTCGAATATGAGTTTCGTAAATTTATCCATTTATTTTTGCATGCTGCTACTGCAAAATATAAAATTTGGAATTTTTAAATTATGTTGGGTATACAAAAATTRCAATYAATTAAAATATAATTTCAGTTACTTGGCAATTATTTTAAGTCGCTTTCGTATTTTTTCGCTATGGGGCTTCCACAATGAAAACATTGTAATGTAAACCTGGAAAGCTGTCTGGGAAATATTATCACTAATTTACMTTCCAAAACCCAACTTTGCGAAATGGCTTTCTATAGCGGATCGCTTTGAGCTACAGATGGAAAACACATAATAATACAGTGCCCTATAAAAGCAGGATCAGATTATTTTAATTATAAAAAATTTCATTCAAAACATTTACAAGCTTTAGTTGATGCATTTGGGCAGTTCATTTGTGTTGGTGTTGGCGACGGACGAAATTGCGATAGTGCTGTTTTCAAACACTCTCATTTTGGAAAAAAAAATTCATAAACAGTTTAATCTACCACATAATCAAAAGCTATGCGCAGAAAGCTGCAAATTTTGTCGCCGATGAAGGTTATCAGCATGTTCTGAATATTCTAAGACCTTTTGAACGATGAGCGAAGAATATACAATTACCGTTTATTAAGAGCAAGATGACATGGATAATATGATACGAAACTTTAGCATTGGCTCTCYTTTTCTCTCAAACGCGTTCCCTGATTATTTGACAGCGATGAAGATCAGGGAATTTCTGACAATTGACTTCAGAAAAGGCGGGATGCCAGAAGTAAACCGCTATAATTACCTGACAAAATTAGCGGGAAATGAAGTTTCATTGAACTGTGCGAACATATTTTGGCAAAATAATTGTTTATGTAAATTAATTAATGATTTTGCATTTTAGCATTTATATATGTATGCATTTTCAAAGTGTTTAATTTAGTGTTTTGTATAATTTATTAAACGCCCAATATATTTTTCAGCAGTGGTGGCATCAATGACAAATGTTATAAAAAATGCGAGTGTGACAGCTCTCTCTCGAATCGGAGAGTTTCGTATCATATTATCCATGAAGATGAGTCGTGGAATGCGCATTTGGTATGTTTGCAAACACGTTTCGAATTTTTCATACAGAAATTTTGTTGTCGCCTTATAAAGTATAAACTACTTGTATTAGCTGCTTGTGCTTTACATAATATGATTCGGGGACGAGAACATTTGCTTCATGAGATATATAATATGATATGCAATATTTAGTTCAAGSGGCAACAAATGAAAATATTGAAAACACAAGGCCATCAAATGTTGCACGTTACATACGTGRCCAGTTTCTATGATATTTTAACTCTAACACTGGGATCAGTTTCTTGGCAAAATAAGTACTCTATCTAATTTTTTTCGTTTTTTACTATATACTTTTAAATACTTATCAACATTACGTATGATGTATGCACAAATAGTATAAATACATATAATAAAATAACTTACCTTCACTATTCATTTCGGTAGCTATTTCTTCCCATAGCTTTTCCGTTATTAATTTATTATTGTGATCTTTACTTTTATTATTATATATTKKGCYTCTTGCCTCKATCAAAAACACTAATTTTTCCGCGTCAATGTTCATTATAACAATTTGTGTCCACAATGAAAGCACGAATAAAATGCGCAATTTTGCCTATGAAAAACAACAGTGCAGCTATAAGCAAMGAAACGGGATTTTCTGTCTTGACTGTTTCATTCGGTGCTGGTTGTGCCGTAGCTTAGCATGTATTGACAACTGCTCATAGCTTCATATGTGACAACCCACACCGGATAAGACGGAAGGAAACGCATGTTCGAGCCTTGACTTGTTTGAAGAGCTGTTGTCGAACTTCTTATGTGTGAATTTTCATACAGCCAACGCACACCAAATGCGACAAAATCGTCTTTGTGTCGATCAATACATGCTGAGCTGCGGCGCTACCCACACTGAATGAAACTGACAAGACAAGACAAGACATAAAAACCGGTTTCGTTGCTTATAGCTGCACCGTGTTTTTTCAAAATTTAATTATTGAAAATATTCCTTTCCTCCTATTTTTCGTTTTATTTCAATGCACACCAAGCGAGACGAAAAGACAAAATGTCTCATTGTCGCATTTTTGTCTGGCTTGGTGTGCATTGAAATCAAACGAAAAAACGAAAAAACCAAACTCGGTCTGCTATGTCCCGAGATATGTATGGGTTTTTGCTGAATGTTTGCGGTGCCACTCCCGTCGTATAATTTTCACCTCGGCTTCTATGAAGTCCTCTTAGATCGTATAAGGTGTAAAATTTAGTTTTGTCTAWGGCGTATTTATTTATTGATTTATCGCGGTTTTAGTTTTGTTTTAACATTACCGTTATATGGGGTAACATTCAGTTTAATCCATTTTTACGATGTTGTGATTATTTCAAAACATGGCAACGTGGGGAGGATAGAGTGCGGTTCTGAAACACCTACACCTTAAACTCTTGTCATAAAACACTACCAAGTGCATTGTTAATAGTTCAAATGTCAAAGCCGAAACTGGACTTTGTAAAAGTCAACTAAATACTTCATTTCAAACTTCCATTCAAATGGAATACTATTTGACTTCATCGCATTAAAACAATTGAAATAGTAAATACCATACGCATACGTACATACATACAGTGTGCCTCATAAAACTTTTCATATGAAAAAACTTSTATAAAGTGGATTTTGAAAGTAAYGCACCTATTTATTTTCGTATTTTTTAAAAAAGAAAAAAATTCATTCTTTTGTTTATCAGTTGTGAACAGACAGAAATCAAAAAGCAAAACGATATTACATGTTTGTCTCAAAATTCTTTTTAGATTTCAGCAAAATTCCAATTTGTATACGCAAACTTTTTTATAATATAATATTTGGTGTGACCACCTGAATTTTTTATTCTTACACTTCTGGAGCATCCTTGAAATTACTNGTTCGAGCCTTGACTTGTTTGAAGAGCTGTTGTCGAACTTCTTATGTGTGAATTTTCATACAGCCAACGCACACCAAATGCGACAAAATCGTCTTTGTGTCGATCAATACATGCTGAGCTGCGGCGCTACCCCAACTGAATGAAACTGACAAGACAAGACAAGACATAAAAACCGGTTTCGTTGCTTATAGCTGCACTGTGTTTTTCAAAATTTAATTATTGAAAATATTCCTTTCCTTCTATGTTTGCGGTGCCACTCCCGTCGTATAATTTTCACCTCGGCTTCTATGAAGTCCTCTTAGATCATCTAAGGTGTAAAATTTAGTTTTGTCTATGGCGTATTTATTTATTGATTTATCGCGGTTTTAGTTTTKTTTTAACATTACCGTTATATGGGGTAACATTCAGTTTAATCCATTTTTACGATGTTGTGATTATTTCAAAACATGGCAACGTGGGGAGGATAGAGTGCGGTTCTGAAACACCTACACCTTAAACTCTTGTCATAAAACACTCCCAAGTGTATTGTTAATAGTTCAAATGTCAAAGCCGAAACTGGACTTTGTAAAAGTCAACTAAATACTTCATTTCAAACTTCCATTCAAATGGAATACTATTTGACTTCATCGCATTAAAACAATTGAAATAGTAAATACCATACGCATACGTACATACATACAGTGTGCCTCATAAAACTTTTCATATGAAAAAACTTSTATAAAGTGGATTTTGAAAGTAAYGCACCTATTTATTTTCGTATTTTTTAAAAAAGAAAAAAATTCATTCTTTTGTTTATCAGTTGTGAACAGACAGAAATCAAAAAGCAAAACGATATTACATGTTTGTCTCAAAATTCTTTTTAGATTTCAGCAAAATTCCAATTTGTATACGCAAACTTTTTTATAATATAATATTTGGTGTGACCACCTGAATTTTTTATTCTTACACTTCTGGAGCATCCTTGAAATTACTGTCTTTATATGTTATATGTATATATGTTTATATGTTATTTACTGTCTTTAAAAATATTCGTGTGAAATCTTTACCCATTTTTCTTTGATGCTCTGTAGTAAAGTGTTATTGTTGGTAGGGAACCTGTGATATAATTCGAATTTTAATTTATTTGAATTTTCTGGATCCGGCAGCCCAACTTTTTACATTTTTTCGTAAAATGTTTAAATATACTTCTTCGTATTATCTATGATAAACCGTTATAATGAAAAGCAATTTCGTTATGCACTCGCAAAACGACCGAACCACAGCACAGAAATACGTGAAATTGGCACAGTTATTCGTGTATTTTTGCAGAAGGTTCTAACGGAGGCCTTGTTTTGTAAAATCACCGCCGATTTTGCATTTATATTAGATGAAATAAATTTCAATTCATGAAATTGAAATTAAAATTATATTGGTAAAATAAATATATAAATTWAAAAAATTCATTTCGGAAGATAAAGGGTGATCCAGGACGAGATTCCCTACTTTTTTAAAGAAAAAACATAGAAAATTTAAATTTAATGGGGAGTATTTATTATCATTCGAAAGAAGACTTATTCTTTGAAGATTATCTCTTTCAAATGTTGGCCGCGGCTACGTCCCAGATGGTTCATCCATTGAGCTCAATTTTCGATGACTCGTTCGAGCGTTTCGACTAGTGAATGACACGCGTGATGTGTATCGATGATTCCACCGGCCCAACAAACCATACCAAACCGTTGTTTATTACGGATGAAATGGCAGCTCTTGAATCTCTTTAGGTTGCTTTTCGTCCTAAATGCGGCAATTTTGCTAGTTAACATACCTATTGAGTTAGAAATGGGCATCATCGCTTAACTAAATTTAGCTCGAAAACGTCGAATCTTCTTTTTTTAAGAGCCCATGAATAGAGCGGCTTCTGCTCTTACACATCAGTCCGTGTTGCTGTGAACGGGGCCGAAGTGACTCACGGGTGATCTGCCAAAAAAAGACTGTGAAAAAAAGTACCTCTCCTTGGATCACCCCTTAAAAAATTTGAAAACATGGGTGTACCGTTAAGTGTCTGGTACTTTTTTTGTGATTCTCCGAAATGTTAAAAAAAATTTTGAAACTTCGCAGAATCTGACGCACTTTGTTTCTCGTTGCTGTTTTTGCATACAACACATTCCAATATCTGTWTGTTTTCACATAAACAGATAGCATATGCTAGAACTGTATTTTGCTGCAAAAAAAGGATTAAAATTAAATTACAATAATATAATCTACTAGGAAAGCAATAAAATTCTTTAATATTGCATTGTGAAAATAATTATGAGACATACTGTATGTGCAATGTACATAAAGAGGACATTGCACAACGAAACTCTGTAACATTATCTTTGTTGAATTTRCATTTGTGTAACTGGCTATAAACTAGTAAATAAATACTAATTGAAAATGCATGCAACCGCCTCTTCCTTCAATCACATGCACACAGACGCGCTTGCAAACTAGTGGTGCATACAGATTGATTTGACACGCGCCTTTATTCATGTACACACAGTCCACTTAAATAACGGTTTTATTGCCTGGTTGCCATTGTGATATGTCAAATGAATGTCAATTATATTGACAATAGCCACTTTCGCTTTTGRCATTTGATTTCTGTCACAGCCATCAGCCGTCCAACACATACAAACGTACGTATATATACAAGTCCACTCTAGCTTACGCCTGCATTCTTCGCTCATTTCGTGTCAAATCAAGTTAACAAAAGCGACGGTGCTACTCAATATTTTAGCGTTTAGTTTGCGTGTATCCCTTGCATATGAGCGATTTCTCTTCTCTCTCTGCGGTTGACACACGAGTATCGAGGACGCATGTTTCGAGAGCAAATATTTTTGATTAGCTTTTTATGACAAAACTTCATGCAAATATTTTCCGTTATCGTTATGTTCGTCAGCGAATATGTCATTCAGATGCAACGTTGCATTACCATTGCTTTGTTGTTATTGCATTTCTTGCATTTCTTGTCTATTGCAATGTTAAATTTTTCGAGTTGTATTCGGAAACGAGGTATAAACGCATGCACTGCTTGGGTGAAATTTGTTAGCATTTCGATTGGTGCGATTTTTCGGATTTTTCATTCAGCTGAAATTCTTCACCATATCCGCAAGGAAGCTACATATTATATATATACATAGCTTTATGAAAGCACATTGTTTCTGATACTGTTTTGATGTTGTGACCGACCGTAGATTTGCTTCAAAATATGGCTCCCATAAAGCTTAAAAATATTGTATTGAATGTATGTASGAGGTGTGTTCAAAAAGTATCGCGAATTTTGTGTTTTTTCAAAAATTATTTATTTATTCAGGAATATCTATTTTGTCATCTTCAAAGTAATCCCCATGAGATATTATACACTTGTGCCAACGGTTTTTCCAATCTTCCAAGCACTTCAAAAAATCATTTTTTTATCTTCTTCAGCTCCTCCTTCGATGCCGTCTTTATCTCGTTAAGAGCAGCGTCCTTTCATTAGCCTCTTCAGTTTAGGGAACAAGAAAAAGTCACAGGGGGCCAGATCTGGGGAATACTCGTACGGCGGCTGTGGCATCATTAGTGTTTTGTTTTTGGTCAAAAAGTCGCACACAAGCAACGATGTGTGAGCAGGGGCGTTATCGTGGCGCAAAAGCCAATTTTTGTCACATCTTCTCGGCCTTCTGAGAACATTTTGTACCACCGATAAACGTTGCTTCGGTCCTAGGTAGCTTCTCCGTATGCCACAGTCAACATTCGGAATACATCCACGCACTTAATTTCGTTTTTCGCACAAAATTTGATACAGGTTCTTTGATCCATTTTTTTGAATAGGTAAAAATCGAAGACGATCCAAAACACGTGCAAGCAAAGCAGCTGTCAACAATTAAATGAACATTCAAAATGGCCGAGCTTGTCGGCATAAGTGAGAGAYATGAGTACCAACATAACGCCACAAAAATTCGAAATTCGAATATAAGTAACCCGCGAAAATTCAAAATTCTTGAACACACCTCGTATAACACATTGTATAACACATATTTATAACTGTTTTTTATTAATTTATTTTCAGGATCGTAATAACGCTCAACCGTCTTGTGCTGGGGTCTTTATTGGCGCTCATCTAGGTTTCGACTATCCCGGTGTTTGGATGCATGTCGATATGGCTACTCCAGTATCGACGGTATGTATAGCAAATACTTATATAAGGTATACTACTATGGGCAAAAAATAGTGAGACTYTTTAATTTGAATTTGGCGCAAAATATTTTTTTCTGGGTTGGTGACATTAAGCCAAATTTCTCATCAAAATAATCATTAGTGCTTAGTATGCGTTTGTCTTTCTGAAATACAAAGAAAATGCATTCAAMAAAGAAGTTGCATTAAATTTTTTATGGGGAGTCAAATTTCTGGTGCYGAAACATTCAGAATGTTGAAAAMGGCCTTGATAAAAGTTTTTCGGGAACAAGTGTTTTTGATTGGTACAAAKTATTCAAAGACGACCACGCGTTGACGASAAACCACGTCCAACACGTTGAACTGATGATCAACATGTCAATAAATAGTGGAATTCGTTTTTGATAGCCATTTTACGATTTTTTTCAAAACCACTCAATTATTTCGCGTCATGTTAACGTCCGTGAAATAATGTTTTCCGACTACCAGGATGGCATGAAACGATTTATTGCTAGCGATGAGTCTTGCATGCTTACGACTCTAAAAGTGCGACCATCCGAAGCCGAAAAATCACGTCAAAGCAGATCAAAATTAAAATTATCTTGACAGGTTTCTTCGAGTTTCKTTTGAGTGTTACGCGTTGTTTGCGCGAAGCTCTTCGTAAAAAGAGACCGAAATTACATATGGGCAAACAACCCTTGGTTTTTGTATCACGATAATGAAGCGTCGCATATTGCAATGATTATTCGTAAGTTTTTCGCCAAATTTTCAACTAATACAAGGKGCGTTCCAYAGTAAAYAGGATTTAAAAAAACGGAATAAATGGTTTTTTTCGGTAAAATMAATTTATTTTATTCAAAATAGTCTCCTTCTRCTTCAATACAGCTTTTTGCACGGTTCAAAAGCATGTCGAACGAGTGTTTTAGCTCGTTGGTMGGTATGGCCGCCATTATGCTGGTGCAAACATTTTGAGTGGCCTGTACATACGCTTTCCTTTCATAGGCAAATGCATTTTTCCGAAAAAGAACAAGTCGCACAGTGACATATCAGATTAATACGGGGAGTGGTTAATGGTTAAAATGGGATTTTTGGTCAAATAATCGGTCACAAGCGTCGAATCGAATGTTTGATTCTGAGCAATTTTTGGTCGTCAATCAATATGTGCGGAACAAACCGTGCACACACCTTTCGTAAGCCCAAATGTTTGGTCAAAATGCGATAAATCAATGTTTTGAAGATATTCAATTCCATTTCCATGAATTTCAATGATGATTTCTGCTGATTTTCGATGAATTCACGCACAATTTCGATRGAATTTCCGGTGATMAYKGRTTTTAATTGGCCCACATGTTGATCGTCATTTATGTCCTCACGACCACTTTGAAAACGTTGAAACACMWTGTGCACTCTGCTACGGTATAGGCAATCATCGCCATAAACGTTTCGGTAAAAGTTTTACCAATTGTAAAACAAAATTTTTGGCTCTTTGTTCGAARCTCATTTTCGCATCGATAACACAAACATACTGACACTTAAAACATAATAACTTCACTTCCATTTCATTGATTGATTTATGAAATTCTCACTGGACAGTCGATAAAGTTATCAGATTCTAACGCACCAGTCGACATATAGATGGCCCAACCAGGGGGCACTGTATTCAAAAACTCCTGTTTACTTTGGAACGCACCTTTTATAGGGCCCCAACCACAGTGACTTCCAGCTAACTTAAACTACCGCCCTGGGGAAATCGTTTTGAGTCAATTAAAGTCATTAAACGTGAATTGCATGCGTAAAAGAAGATTACTTTGAATGGGACGACATAGATTTTGAGGAATAAATTAAGAATATTAAAATTTTTAACAAGGTTTACTATTCTTTGCTCATAGTAGTACTTATTAGTTATATTTTTCTGATTGTTCCATATACTTTATGCTTGGTGCTTTATTAATGCTTTATATTTCGATATTAACATCGGAAATCGCCAATTTCTGATAGCAATGAATTACAATAAATTCGTTAATTTTCGGTATGTGTCCAAAGTAGGAGTAATTTATTCAATAGCTTTTAAAATTATCATTTCACATTTTTATAAAATATCCACTTTTTATTTTATAATCGTTAACACATACTTTTTTTTTATATTTTTGCTTACATTTCGCCATCTTTTCGTTGCAGGGTGAACGTGCCACCGGCTATGGCGTAGCGCTCTTACTAACACTCTTCGGCAACTATACAAAATGCAGTCTGCTGCAATCGATTGCACCCAACGATGCGGAACCGCCAACGAAGCGCGTTTGTCGTGATTAGGCAGCAACAAAAATGTTGCAATCCCAGTATGACTTATTCCCGAAAAATGAAATACATCACCAAGCGAAGTACGGTAGCATGAAACGAAGAGCCGTCCGTCCAGCTTTGCTTGGTGCTGCAGCGAACATAAGCAGCATGAGTTATAAGGGGAGAGAAGAACAATGCCAGTAATCGCTTCCATCACGCTTTACGTTACTTCGCAGCGTTTTTTTTTTTTACTTTATTTTCGGTTTATTACTATTTTGGATTTTTTTGTGTGGTTCGGTCTAACCAATGTGTACACTTTTTTCAATTTCAATTGTAAACGATATTATCCGCAAATTCTCATACTCTTCTTTAACTTGTATTATGAAGTAAAAGGAATAAACTTATATAAAAATAAAAACGAAATATTTATGCTTTATTTAATTTTGCTGCGTCAAATAGCTTTTTCGCTTGACTGCTCACTGATGCTCGATTGCAATTACGTTGAACAGCCGGTAAACATAGAAATGGAAATATGATATAAATACAGAATTATTTGCTACCTTTTATCTTCCACAATCTGCTTCCAATATAAGGAGCATAAGGCTATGTCAGTATTATTTCTGTGGTCACCTTGCCATCTTGCAATTATGTCCTTGCGATTTTGTTCTCAACGACAAGCGCTTGCGCGGTTGTAAGTCGTTTAGTGATTCGAAGTTTTCAGCTTAGAATTGTTCATAGCTTAAAGGGGAAATTACAATAATTTGTCTTAGCCAAACGAACTGCATTATGCACTTCCATCTATGTGGTATACAAGTAGCTGGCAGTGGTATTAGTTTCTTTCGTATTCTTTGCACCCAAATTGATTGTGTCGTCCCCTTTTACGAGTATAGGATGTCTTCGTTTTCAATTTAATGACTTTGAAAAGAATGTAAGTAAAGTCAACATCATTTATGCTGCCGCAATGCCCAACAATTACGTTCGTTACAATAAATGTTGAAATGATTTTGGAAATTTAGATCGTTACGACCGTTTTTCTTCCGCAGAGTGACGATAGCCGTTTGGTGGTTAAGCAAATAATAATCAAAAATCACCCAAATGATATTCTATGTAGCCTAAGTCAGTTAAATTTACTGTCCCTTGATACTATACTCTCTACTGTCTAAATTTCAGCTATACTCTATTCGAAGTTTTGTTTTGACCGCAAGTGGAAGTTGGCGGGGAGGCGGATTTTAGAAAAACTGAAAGCAGAGCATTGTTTTCTGATTTTATTTTGCTGTTGGAAGCGAAATCACGCAGTGAAATCAAAATTCTTTGGTGAAAACTGATTTCAATAGACGTTAATATTAAGAAATTGATGATTTTTTTCAGTCTTCTTTGGTAAAAGTACACCTTTATTAGTGCAAAACACTACCTTGTGTAATTGTCGAATCAGATATTAATGCTGGCGACAGTGGTTTTGTTGCCCTCGATATAAGACCGATTTTGGATATAATCGTGTCCACAGTTCAATAACCTAAATAGTTTTCTAAGATTTGCTCTCGACAAAAATCAGAAAACATGAAACAAAATAACTGAAATCTTTCTAATGTCGGTATTGATTTGAAAATAAGGAGTTCTCGAAGTAAATAAAGATGCAAATTCCGAAAACGTAAAAAATTTAATGGAACTTCTTTGTGGAATAATGTAAATCATCGTAAAAGTCGCCGAATTCATTTTATGTATTTTAGAAGCAAAAGCGTGTACTAAACACTATTGATTATTTTGATGTGACATTTGGCATAGATGTAACTGACAGTCATATCAAATTAGCAAATAAATTTCGACGAATGGGGTTGCAAGCTACAACGGATGATAATGTTCAAATCTCGATGATCACGTATGGGCATGTGAYCGATTGGACCCGTGCGAGATATCAGAAAGAGTAAAGTAAGCAGCTCAAAAACCGATTAGGTTATATCTAATGACACAATCGTGCGACCACTTCGCAGCAGAGGTTGAAAAACATGAATTCACCATAAACCAAGAAAGAGTCGCAACAGTGGGCTTCACTCGGCTCGGTATGCTAAGCATTTAACGGATCGCCTTTGTATATAAATACAACAAAATTTATAAATGTGTGCATCTTGGTACGTATCAATGTCAGTAAAACCCAAAACGTTCACTCAAATTGTTTCCTCTTAGCTACTTGACATTTTTATAGCATACTTTGTGGCGGTCMAACATGCAAGTTGCTTCACTGACCATATAATCGCAATCAATACTTGTTTTTTTTTTTTTTATACATATCTATCTGAATCAATCGTGCAACCCCAACGGGCATGGCATGGGTGCCCAGCATTTATAGGCATCTACTCAAATTTTTAAAATTGTGCCAGAAAGTGTTGAAATCCAATAAAATTAAGTTTTTGCTACTTACATATACCATACACACATAAACAAAAGTATATGACTCTGTAATAAAATAATTTCCACGCAGTTGAGCGAATAAGAAAGCGAACGAGCTAGCAATTTGCGAACAAAAGAAAGGTCACACAAACTCGGAGTAACGGCACTCTGATTGTCCTTTGCCGTCACACAAAAAGCAAACAGTCAGTCAACTGGCCAGATGGTGTCATTGTCATCAGTAGAGTAGCATAGATGTGTTGTGCTTGCGGGCGCCGAGAGGCCAGGACACAGTTTGTACAAACAAGGACGACGTACGATACCAGCTAAAGACAACATTCCCGGTTATTACAGCATATGTGGACATTTGAGGATGCGTATATTTGTACGTGTATGTGTGTTTGTGAAATATCCGTAAAAGATGCGACTAAGGAAGGCATACGCGACACAAGAGTAATTTGACAAATTCTCTCCTTGGATATATATTTTTTCATTTTTCTTTTAAATTGCAAAACAAAAAGAGTGTATATGTTTAAAATTAAATAAACCAATTAGATAACTTTCGAAAATTCACTTTATGAATTGGAATAACTGTATTGAAGAGAGAAACGAAGAAATATGACTTTATCATTTGATTTTAAGACCCAGAAAAATGTTGAAGAACTCCAACGAAGGTTGCAGGACTTCTTGCTGGATATTAAGAAAAGCTGTGATAACATATCTGCCTTACTTAAAACTTCAGTGAATTGCCAAGATAGGTTTTAATTTTGAGGCATGCTTCGGCAGTTGAGGTCAGAAATAGTTAATAATTTTGTTAAGAATACTTTCTATGGCTAATGGGGATTATACTTATACAGCTAATGAAAAGTGAACCTATCACAAGTTGGCTTATGTGRTTTATTTCGATTTCAGTTAATTTTTGGATATCTGAATATGAGATCCAAGGTGTTTCACTGGTTAAGCATTGTTTGTTTAGATGGGGTTATATTACGATATGTTAAGAGAGGGTTGTCCTTATAGTCTGTACAACAGCTTTTTTTACAGGATTATTGCTCTAAATTAACAAAAACTACTTACATGAAAGGGTTCAAAATGCAGCTTGTGCAARAACTGAAKCCGCTCCACTTTCCTCTTGAAAAGTTCTAAGAAGATCAGATCTTTTCTAGCCAAATTTTGTTCRGCGATGAGACCCATTTCCGGCTCAATGGGTAGAGATATATTTCTTCAAAAATAATTGGCGACCGCTATCRTCCATGATWATGGACTATTTGATGTCCGAAAGTGTTGYTGAAGCTCGTGATCTCGGCGACATTTGCTTTTTATATCTCATACATCTCAMCCAARSGWTTTATTGAGAGAACATTACGGTGWGATGATAATTTCACCTTTTGGGCCWCCAAGATCGTGTGATATCAGACCAAAMGACTTTTTMCTGTGGAGATATGTAAAATCTAAAGTTGATGCGAACAATCCCGTTTCGATTCAGGCCTTATAGCAAAACAGTACGCTTGGCATTCACCAGCTACCAGTCGAAATGCTCGAACGAGTCATCAAAAATTGAACTTAACGGATGGATTATCTGAGACGTCGGCGCGGCCAACATTTGAAAGAGATAATCTTCAAAAAATAAATGACAAAGAATGTTCACTCGAATAATAATAAACACTCCCGATTAAATTTGATCGAATCGAAATGGATCACCCTTTATAAYCAGACTGGCTTGAAAATAAGCTAYCKCCCAGCCTACTKAAGWGCAATTWGGTAGCAAAAAKGTTCAACCACAACATTGCGCTTGTTTCATTTTAAATATATTTAGGACTTTATTACTTATTGATAGACCTCAGCATTAAAAAATAGACTTTCTGCAATTGATGTTTATAAATAGAAAATATTTCACTTAAATTTCAGTTTTTGTTTTTATTTTCAAGTACATATTTTTTATATAAACTGATTTTTTGATATAAACTGATTTTTCTAAATAGAAAATTTACAAAGTTTTGTTTGCTCAGAGATTGACTCCAACATTTTTTCGGAAAATGTACCAATTACCGTGGTATCGAGGATKCTGGTTGGTAATTTCGGTATTTGAAGAGTTGAGTCCTTCACGATTCAATGCTTATACTTCAGTAAGTGGGGTTCAAAATCCAATTTCCAAAGACTAAAATCTMAGCTTCCTCTTACGAAAAACTTCAAWATTTGTTACTTTCAATCTGCAACTGTTGATGGAAAATTTCAGTTTTCAGAAGCTCCAACCTATCATATCCATCATTACGTATGTCTTTCCTATGGAAATATAGTATACATATATAATTGTTCTATCCCTGTCTCTTATACACATCTAGATGTGTATAAGAGACAGACGTATGTCTTTCCTATGGAAATATAGTATACATATATAATTGTTCTATCCTTTCCCTGCCTTCTCAAATAAGAGTTCTATCACACATATTTATTTACAATGCACTGCATGCTTACTCCCATACAYGACTCACTGTTTATTTTCATTTGTTTATATTTGTTTTGGTATTTATATTTTGTGATTTTTGCTCTTACGAAAATATTGCCCTTTTTCATCTTAGCCAATTTTCAACATTCAGCTACGGTTTTTGGTCGAATGGCTCCGCTTCCTTGGATGCCCACTTTGATGCCATCATTTTGCGTAGTGAATAAAAGATATACAAATTCATAGTAGTACACACATATGTACATATTACATATATACATATGAATGTATAC